CCCCAAAACCCCAAAACCCCAAAACCCCATCTATGAAATAATTGAATTATTGGAAGGAATGATTAAATGAAATAAAGGAACCATTTATCAAATAAATGGGCAATATTTAAGACTTCAACAGAAATATTAGAGAAATTAGGTTCATAACCCAACATAAGTGCACCATTGAACACTTAATGAAACCAATCTGCTCTAACTATTGGTATAACCATCAAAGCCACAGACACAGCCTCCTTGTTTAGGTGGAAGCAATGTATTGAGAGTACCAACTTAGGAGCCAGCTTGTTTAAAATCTATATTTTTGGAAGAATATATGTCGATTCCTTTTATGTTTGTATTGCTAGTAATTAAATCTACCCTGTTGATACAATCCTTACTATTATAACTAGATGATTACCAGGTCCAAGGAGATGCAAAAACACCATATTCAAATTGCTATTTCCCATATTTTATTCTCATAAAATATATATCTTATGGTGAATCAGCTATTGTTATGGTTGAAATAGCTCCATATTATTAGAAAAAGTTTCCACTTTCAAATTTAGTTAGTCCAGGTTGTCCTTATAAGTTTGGATAGAAATCTGATTTAGTCACAGCGAACATTCCAATTGTAGTAGGAGGTGAAGTAGTTCTCTTAACTGATTGAGAGATATCATATGTAGGTTCCAAATCTACTCCATAAGGAATTTAATTTGCTGAGGAATCGTAATATGACATGGTAACAACATTGAATTAGCATTACTTTACAAATTTATAATCAACAATAAATTGTTTAAAACCATTTGATACAAAGTACAGACTACGTGATGTGTCCATAACTACACGAGGGTTTTATAAAGGCTCTCCAACTGGGAGTCTTAAAGTATCAGTTTAAACAATAATTGGATTAGGGGCAAAGAGTGATGATAATTAAGTAGATGAAACAGGGCGAAGTTGGCCTAATAGTGCAATATAAACTTGATTGTTGGTATTTTGAATTAGAGTACATTGCTCATGATAGATTTGATAATCAGGGAGAGCACATGTTATGCTATAAAAGTAGTCGAATGATGATGTTGAATTTTAAGTTTAATATTTAATGGAAGCAGCAATTACATAGTAACCACTTTTTGAGCAAGAAATATTTTTTTAAGTAGTCATTATTTGAGTTACCTAATATTTATCTTTATATGCAGCTCTATTTGCTCCTTAAATATAGCAACATTGAATTTGAGGTGATGAATAATCTGTTAATGAATTCATGAATTTCCCAATTGGGCAGGTAAAGCCAGAGACTGACTAACAGTTTTAAGTATTAGTCCAATATCCCTAAGTTCCAATTAAAAAAGTACTAGAGAGAGTTGATTTAGTAGGATCTAATGACAATCCTTTGATAAGTGTATTTTCTGGGACAATAGCAGGAATTGAATCTCCAAACCTCGACACCATTAAAATTGCATAAGGAGAATATTATAAAGGTCCTTCGGCTCTAACCATAAATTAACTGTAGGTATTCACTGCCAATTCAAAGTTTTATTACAAAAACTTAGTATTAGTAACTAGTTAGTGGGTTGAGACCATATTTTTATCGAACAAAGTGAGGTTTTATCTAGCAGAAAATAAACTGTTTACCTTAGCAAGAGATGGAATAGATAATTGGAGTAAATTGATAATAAAACCGCCTTTAGAGCTGATTTCATCACCGAAATCAAGATTATTAGTTAGGGCATAATTTTCTACAGAACTCAAAAGATCCTTCATTGCAAAAGCTATGGTAGCAAAGGCATTGTTGCACAAGCTCATCCCAGTACCACAGGGAGCTTATTCATAAGACCAACTAGGGTAAGATTGCATATATTAGACTTTGTAATTAAGATTAGTCAGCATAGATATTTCGCTGTTTATTTATCTCTATGAAGCAGCAAGATTAATTGTGTAAATGCTGGCAATAATTGACGAAGCAATTTAATCAATCTAGGCTTGTGTTGCCATAAAACCGTTAGCCATTTATGTTATTGTTTACTTTGTAGCAGCATCAATCTTTGAAGAAAGTTGATCAATCACATCTTAGTTTGAAGGTTAAGGGAAAAAGAGGTCAAAAAAAATTCCAGCAACTGGCCCCAAAAACCCAACTGCTTTACTGATTCCTTTTAATGCTGTTAATGAGGAATCTTGGAATACAGAAGAAACATCACCTGCTTTATCCACTACCATTCCGAATATATCTAATGCTTCAGCTTGTTAAGTTGGAGAAAGAACTGAAACTATAGTAATCAAAACTACCGCACAAAACTTTTTCTGCATGCTCAATATTTGTTTATAAAATATTTAAATAGACCTTTAAATAATAGATAATTAGTTAAGATCTGGTGAAGAATAATTAATTAGCTTTAAATCTGGTGAAAAAAGTTTAAATTAATAATTCAAATTTAATTTAATTTTATATCTAAGTTTATTGAAATACCATATTTTATAAACATTCATCCAGTGGGGTTTTGGGGTTTTGGGGTTTTGGGG